GTGGCATAACCAGCCTAGCGACCTGTGGCCTGTCGTGCAATCGTTGTTCACCTCGCAATCGGTCGTCTCTGATTCGCGCCTCTTCCCTAAGGCGAACGTTGGCGATCTCATTAGCTAGACGAGCGTCATGATAGAGGGAATCGTCATTCAGCAGCTAAAAAGATCAATTTTCAGCAAAAAAAAAGCAGCCGGAATGAACACAACTGCGTTTCATGAAATTGTAATTGTAATGAATAGCGCAGGGAATGGAGGCGTTTCAGGGATTTACGCTCGGTTAACGGCTGAGCCAGCGATAAATACGATAAGACCAGAATCAGTATCATCATACTCGACCCCACGTCCAAGCAGAATCACATTAACCCTTCCGATCATGACGGTGATAATAGCCGCCACCCAGTTTAGAGGTGTACATTAGGAGGGTATGAGAGTGAGGAGTTTATTCACTTCCTTTCCTTCAGCGCTCTGCCCCGCCCCCTCCCCCCCCCCCCCTATTTGCATTGCTCTTTTTTTTACCTATCGGAGATCTGCTTGGTACTTCAGTGCGATACTGACTAGAACGGGTCAACCGATTACAAATCATAAATCATAAATCACCGGTGCGACAGCATATTTGCTCTAAACACTACTAGAAGTCGCTTCAGACAAACTTTTCCTTTCGAATATTGCTTTGCACCCGTCACTGCTCTGCCAGTGCACTGGCCCGAAAAAAAAACGAAGGAAAAAATTTCTCAGTGAAAATAATTGAAGGCTGGAAGGGTTAAGCCTGAGCGGGCTTCTACCGGTTCTTGCCATAGACCTCACGCCTTTTTTCGGCTGCTTGAGGTAAGCATACGAAAGAAATTGAAGCAGGGGTCCAATAAAGACGACGGCGGTAGAAGAACTTTGAACACGCCTTACATACAACCTCGTCCTGAAGACAACGATTGTTTAGAGTCAATGGGTAAATAAAAGTTGCATTCAAATTTCCCAAAATTTGCGGATATAGATAAAGCATGAAGCAGTTCCTAGACAGAGCATTTTAATGAGCATTTTATCCACCTGTTTCTGAATGTTCCTCAATGCAGTGACAAAGTTATCGATAGATTTTCCGAAAACTAATTTAACCCTTTCGGCCCTGGCGGTGGCAATTGCCACCACCAAATTCAAACGCTTGCATTGCCGCTGAAACAGCATGGTTTTTCTAATCCTGCTAGAGGTTGCTTCAGTCAACCTTCCCCTTCCTAATTATGAGCTAAACCTGCCATTTCATTGTGTGTTGCTGTTAGTATTACAAGTATTTGTGTACAAGTGCAACAATGAATCGGCGCTGACCCCCGCAACCGGCCAAGTAAGTGTCACTTTTTCTTAAAATACTTGAAGTAGATCCATTCCTAAATCAAAATTATGGGTTATAATGTTGTGCAAGATTATAAACTTTTTCGGCATAACTATGAAATTTGAATTGTTTCGACATAAGCTTAAAAACTAAGAAGGTGGGCCAATTTTCAAAGCTTCTTAGTTTCTTTGTTTGTGATCGAATAGCTTCCAAATTTCGCCATAATGATACCTATATGCTCACAAGTAATAAACAATAGCTAGAAGAAAAATTTCTCCACGGGGAAAAATTCAGGTCCGAAAGGGTTAAAGTGGTTATATTATACATTACCTGTGGAGGGTTGATTATTGTATTATGTTACTTTATGTGGGACTGGCAGATCACTATTCACCGGGTAAAACCTACCTGGACCGCCTGAAACCTAAAAGCGACTACGGCTAAGTGTGAGCAAAACCATAAACGCTCAAATTGCAATAAGTCTTGGACTGATTACCTACCTGCTTCACATGGTAATAGCCAGGGGAGCTCGGATGACGGCCGTTCGGTGGTTCTGAAGGAAATCTTTCAAACTCATTTTCGAGAAGAACGTAAGAAATGTGAGGTTAGTCAACTAAAACCCTACTCTCTACCCAATGTATTACTCAGCCAAAAGCATATCGAATAATAATTGAGATGTTAAAAATAAAATTCCTACTGTAGGCACTTCAGAGCGGCGTAGGCCGGAGTCAGACTTTGCGAATCCAACGATTCGCTGGCGAATGCGGGGTACAAGCGTCGCACCAGCGGTTCGAACGATGCGCCAGCAGATCGTGTGATGTACCAGCGACTCGACATGTTTGGAAGTGGCTGGACTCCCTCTCGTTTGCACATTGGGGGACCCTCGACGCTTGCAGGCCTCATGCCCTCGCTCTTTCATGCCCGCGAATCGGAAAGTGGCGATGCAAAAACGAAGGATACGTACTTTCAAACATATCGAGTCGCTGGTACATAGTTCGAACCGCTGGTGCGACGTTCATATCGCGATTCGCCAGCGAATCGCTGGATTCGCAAGGTTTGACACAGGCCTGGTCGAAATAAAATATTGGATAAAAAATGTGTTATAGAAATGGAAAACATTAGAAAACAACACGTATGACATACACACCATGCCCGTTAGTCAGCTGCGACGATGTCGGTTCTATGGCCGATTTGGCTGGTGAGACAGGCGTCTGCTGCTGCTGTTGTTGCTCGTCGCGTGATCCATTACTGGACGTGCGTAGACCGATATGGTTAGTGGGCAGTGAGCCGCGTTTCGTTTCCAGTGGGTTAGTGGCAGCGACACGGACGTCGGCGGTCGTTTGATTGCGATTCGGTTTCACAGGTGCTTCTACGGAGGAACTGCCACCGTGACACAACCACCACCCGCCCCGCCAAGCGCCGCGACGCGGTAACGTCACCCAACCAATTTGAGCACTTCGGGTCAGCTCACTTAAGTGTGGTGAATCCACTGATGACGCGGCAGCACCCATCGATTGACTGTTGTCCCAGTCGTAAATGGACCTGGAATATTTCTAGTGACCAGAAAGTAACATAAATGTAAACAATCATGTAAATATAAGCAGATAAATAAGAAATCAGCACAAGCATACAAATACCCCACCCCAAATGCAAACACCGCTCTTCTCAAATACATTCGAAAACAAAGTCCCATTCGAACATGCCAGTTTATACAAGTACTCTAGGATATGGCCGGGAAGTCGGTGCCCGAACACCGACACAAAGATAACCAGCTTCCATCGATGCCCTTAGTGAGTGACTGCGCAACCACCGAGATGGATCCACTATGCCGACATGAAAACGTGACGTAAGGCGCCCATAAGCCCACTAACCGAGCTAATCGTCGACTATCTTTACACTAAGACCCAAATGCCCACCGACAGGTGCATGGCCGAGCATCCCCTGCGATACAATACATATACAGTAGCGGTCAAAAGTCTTCGCCGAAATTGTTTTTCGACTGTAACTTTTTTTCCGCTGAATCAAATCAATTCAAATTTTAATATGTTTTAGAGATATTCCTACTTCACTTAAACGGCATATTTGTTTCGGATTGAGAGAGAGTTAAGAATGGAAAAAATCATTTTCACTAGAAATTCTCGCGTATGAGCAAATTCCAAGTAGGTTTCAAATTACTCTAGCGAAGCTTACAATTCAACAAAACAATCTTACGCATGATGAATAACACTGGGCAGGTCCAATACTTTGTTAATGATCTTCTGGGTACGCTGAAATACTAACAAGGCCTAAGTAAGGAATCAGTCATTGAATGCACTGTCTACAAGGGCAGCTTCCTCCACTTCTCTTGAACTTTTGACGAGTTTCTCGCCCATATTTCCGGCTCTTATTTCCACCAAAGGTATCCCTACTCTTTCCCATAATGTTTCGATGGCGCTCGGGACATTGGTGTGAATTGTTCCCTTCGTTGAAAGCGCGCCATGCTGTCGAAACCACTCCTTCACAGTGAAGGTGCGATGCTTTTGGTCGCACTAATGCTAGAAGGCGAGCTCAGTTTTGACCAACTGTCATACATGTGGATAAGAACTCCTTCTAGAACCCAACTGTATAGGCTGCCTTCACATGATTGCGAATACTGCGAAGTTAGTCGGCGGTGAAATGGTCGGGGGCGAAATGGGCTTACGCACACCTAAAGTGGGGATCCCCATAGGGCTACAACGTCCTGCGGACCAACGAGAGTGTATTCAAGATGTTTACCGGCGACTGAAATAGGAATGTGTGCGGTCCTGAGGGAAAACGTTTCGATCCAAGGAATTAACTGCCGTATGTAAAACTTGGCGGAGGCTCGCGTGTGGTAGTCCGTAAAAGAAGTTTTACAACTGCACAGGATTAGAGAAGTGGAGGATGCCGACGTATCAGATAGATTCTGGAAGGAGTTTCGTATTCGCTCGTATGAAACTGTACGTGACTGAGTTCGCCTTCTAGCTATAGAGCGACCAAAAGCATCGCACCTTCACTGTGAAGGATTGGTTTCGACAGCATGGCGCGCTTTCAACGAAGGGAACAATTCACACCAATGACCCGAGCGCCATCGAAACATTATGGGAGAGACTAGGGATACCTTTGGTAGAAATAAGAGCCGGAAATATGGGCGAGAAACTCGTCAAAGTTCAAGAGAAGTGGAGGAAGCTGCCCTTGTAGACACTGCATTCAATGACTGATTCCTTACTTAGGCCTTGTTAGTATTTCAGCGTACCCAGAAGATCATTAACAAAGTATTGGACCTGCCCAGTGTTATTCATCATGCGTAAGATTGTTTTGTTGAATTGTAAGCTCGCTAGAGTAATTTGAAACCTACTTGGAATTTGCTCATACGCGAGAATTTCTAGTGAAATGATTTTTTCCATTCTTAACTTCTCTTCTCAATCCGAAACAAATATGCCGTTTAAGTGAAGTAGGACTATCTCTAAAACATATTAAAATTTGAATTGATTTGATTCAGCGGAAAAAAAGTTACAGTCGAAAAACAATTTCGGCGAAGACTTTTGACCGCTACTGTATACAAACCGTGCGGCGGCCCACCAGCTTCACTCGTCCAGACAGGCAGGCACATGCGTGGCTCCTTTGCTGCGTTTAAGGAGGGAGCACGTTCCATTTATTGACTTTGCTCATGGTTTCTTTCTAGGTTTCTCTTCGCTGGAGCTACAGGTCACATCTCGCCTTCATTTTCAAGCACCATAGAACCCCAACTAAATCCTGACGCTTGCCCTTAAGACTAGGAAGGAGCGTTGAATAACCAAATT